TTGTGTTTAGCAAATGCATAGCAGGGCAGATTTACCTTGCCACCGAGGTGTGATGGGGCGATTCCAAACCTTGGAGAGACCAAGGGTTCACTGGGGTTTAATTATAAATCCCCTCTCTCATTAAGGCATTTTTAGCTTCCCTATCACTCTGCAGTACTTAAATTCACTTCAACAGTCAGATGCTGCTTTGTAACACCACTGCACAATATAGTTTCTCATTTCAACATTTTCACTTAGTTTAATATAGAGAGGGTTTGATTTATCATAGTAGTGCTGGTCAATTAATGACTGGCTTGTTAGGTTACACATTTCAAGTACCTTACACTTCACCTCAAAGCCATAATCGCTCTACCGGCCAAAACGAACAATATGTTTGGATCATTAGTGCGAGTTAGTGAATACAATCTATCAGAATTTTGTACAAGTTTTGTTGCTTGCTTTTCCGGGGGACAATTATTTAATTTTAGCCTTCACAAGCGCCCTATAAATATATATTAAATACATGTATTTTTTAATAGCTAGCCTCAAATACAAAGTAATAGACCCTTCTTCATATAAAAGAGCTATCATTTTTTTCTCAAGGTCACTTTGTACGCACAGTCCTAACAACTTACAGCTAATGCTCACAGGTCCTGTCTGGCATTAAAAACCAAAGCCATATTCAGAAACAATAACAAACAATAATTCTGAAAAACAAAGATGGCGTGAGCTTGTTTTTCTTGCTTGTTTGCAAAACAATGCAAAAAGCACAAACTACCTGCAAAAGCACAAATTATCTAATGAGGACTCTCAGAAAGTAAAGTGCTATTAAATAGCCAGCCTCCAGAAATAGCAGATGTAAATGCTGTTTCAGTTCTAAGCAGGAAGAGCAAAAGCAGTTCTATAATGTCATGCGCAAAAGAAGAAAGACAGGGCACAGTTTTTAATTTAGTATTTTCTCTTCATTCAGTTTGCCCTGCTTTCAAATCAGAGGATTTCTTCAGATGGCTTTAGAAATAAAAGTTAAACGTTTTTCCTTTTCAAACTTGATAGAGGGCAGATGCATCAATTAGAAACATATCTGATTAAAAAGGTAAGAAAAGAATATAACCCACTGTGGTACATCATTCAAACGCCGTACATTTTGGTGATTACCTTGTTCATAGCCCTATCCCTTTGTCCTAGACCTTCTAAGTCCTTGTTTGTTCCACACAGAATTTTCTAGCCATCAGATGCTCTATTACTGTGCTAGTCGTCTTGCAGGAGTGCTCTCTCCCTTCTGAAAAAAGCAAACAACTGGATAGATATCATTACACTAAGGAAATCTCTTAGAAAAACCAAACAACTTGCTAATCTTTCTAGCCCCTTCATCCAAGTTAAAGATAAGAAAAGCAAACCTAAGTCAGTTTCAACCACATTCCAGGGACAAGTTCCCCTTTTCTCCTTTATCAAAATCCCAGCATTTAAAGTTTTTTTTCCAGACCTTGCAGGATAAACTGCTGCTCACACCCGCAAACAAAGCAATATTTGTTTAATAACTGATTGCTGCCATGGGTACAGTAAACAAGGGGCCCGGCATTTGTGTTTATGAACAAACACATCATCTTGCAAGAGCAATTTAACATTAACCAGGTGGAATAATCAACAGATTTCATAGGTGACACTCAGGGCAGGACTAATGTAAACAGAGCAGGGAGGAGAAAGGGGCCACTCTCAGGGAATCAAGGTTGAGGCAAATGCATTACAGAGTAAACAGCTGGGAAGAACTCAAGACAAACAAATAGTCATTCTTCTGACATTTAGAGAAGCAGAAAGGTTGTATGTTACATAGATCAGCTGCTGACCACCATGAAATCAAACCAGTTGGGGACCAGGCCTCCTTGTTTACACAGTGCCATGTTTGCTTATAAACAACAATTTGCTGTTACCAACTTTTGCATTACTCATCATATAAACCATCAGATCAAGTGAAATCTTGTTAACTCTTTGCTGGATTTGGGATTAAAAAAAAAAATACAACAGAAAAACACCTTTAGACTCTTTAGCTAAAGGAACCGGCCAGAGGAGGAAATGCACTTTCACATGTCTGTCAAAAAATTAAGGTGCAAAAGAGGCAATATAAGTTCAGGTGTAATCCTGAAGCAGTTTAAAGAAGGGCCTTCGTTGGCATAGTCGGCTTCAGGTTTATTTTATCTTAAATAAAATAAAATAATAATAATCAGGGAATGAGATTAGCTAATTTGCTAATTTTTGGAATAGAAACGGAAGAGAGTAATCTTTAATCCTGCAGACAAAGATAAAAATCTACGTCTTGTCAATATGCTGGACAACCGAGGTCACAAGATGTATTTAAATCAACAACCTGCAAATACTAAAGGTAGGGGTTCAAAATGAAAAAAATATTTCCTTTAAAAAAAATGCAAGAAAAGCAGGAACAACAATTCAGGTTTCTTACTGTACAACATAATCCCTGCTAAGCAAAAGGGGTGTGTGTGTTTACATATATGTATACAATGGCTCACTATACTCTATCTATTGACACACATGATACTGATACAGCACAGTATGTTTCATGCCTCCTCCTCCCTCTTCCTTCTTCTATCCTCAACTTCCTTGCTCTGGCCTCCCATTACCATTCTCACATCACTGAGGATTCCCCACCTACATTTTTTTTTAACCCAAACAGGGCTTTTGGCCCATTTTCTCCTAACTCTTGCTCATCGGGATAGAAACTTCAAGCCCTCAACTACCTCTCTGCACCGCCAATAGGCGTTCCACTGAGCCCCAGCAAGCCCCACCTGTTGCAGGGGAAGGAACCTCCGAGATCTGACATTCTCTGACACTTGGTACATTATTCAAATCTTGTGGTCCCAGGGCTTCCCTGAATCAGGGAAATGTATTTTCCATTCCCATCTCTCATCCCCAGGCCTCACAAGAAGTTGGACATGGCAGTCATCCCTGCAGAGAGTTCCACAACTGCTGTGACCTGGGCCTGGATTTCAAGAAAGGCATGAAGATCGGGAAAGATGATCTAGTGCTTAGGGCGTTCGTCTGGGATTCAGGAGACCCAGGCTCAATTCTTTATTTTGCCACTGACATTCTGCATGACCTTCGGCAAGTCACTTGGTCTCTCTGTGCCGCACTCCCACATCCGTTATAGACCCAGATGGATAAAAGGTGTGAACCAGATGGGAGAACAGGAGTCAGCATTCCAGGAAAATGCAAGTGCTGGTCCATCTCTTTCTCCTCAAAAGAATAATTTGTTGAAGTCCGGGTCAACAGAGACAGAACTAATGATTGCACCCTCAATACCATCCCTTCTCCCCTGCCTGTGAGTGATCACAGTCCAGCCTCACAGAACAAATATGGAGGGGGGAAGCGGTTAACAAGATATTCAGATACTTCATATTTGCTTCCAAAATTTGGAAGCCACAATCTGAAATAATCACAAACATCAGATACCATGTACAAGTCCTCGTGTTTCTGCACTCGCACATCCTAGTCACCTCAACTGAGCTGCCTATCGATGCTCCTTTTCCAGCACGTAAAAATCACAGTTTATTCAGTACAAAATAACTACTGTATGATAAAAACTACAAGCATATCATTCAAATGCTTTATTGGTCAAATAGATGGATGCTTTTATTAGCCCAACCTTTTTTGTAATGGAGTGCCACTGATGACCCAGTGTTAGCCTCATTCCCTGCTATTAATCACACCTCTAGGAGCTCATTTTGTTTTAAAATCTTAAGAAATTGCTATAATTTAAAGACACTGTGTCTACATAATGGGAAATGCTTCACAGATTGTATCATTTCATATAACACCGTATTTTTATGGAAATGCTGACCACGATACCAAGGTATTATAAAACTTGAGTACAAATACAAAGAAAACCTAAATGTAAACTTTCTTTTGTATTTGTGGTTTGCCATATCTATAATATTTTAATCACAACCTTTTGGGAGTTGCAAAATTCACATGTATATGGCTTACATAGATTTACAGTATAACAACATTTCCTGAACAAATGTAAATAAAATAAAATAAATTAGGATCCCCAATATGAAGACTTAGTCAAGATGTGTTTAAACAAAATTCAACACAATGGTTTCACTCTTTCAGGTACTGTGTAATCTCCAGGCCTTGTCTTTTCAGAAAATAAGAATTGAAGATGTCTCTTTATTGTAAGCAACTTCTACAATGAACTAGAAGCATCTTGCAAATTCACCTACTACAGTGAGATTTAAATTAATATAAACGATGGTCTGAACCCATAATTCTTTGCATTATTTAAACATACTTTGCAAAATGTTTTGACAATGTTGACTGTTACAGGAGGGAAAACACATTTAAGACCCAAATGTAAAAGCAACAGCAAAAACCTTCCATTTTGCAAATGTAAAGTAAAAAGCATCTTTAAACATCTTCTTACGAAAGAAAAAGTGGTGCAATTATGTTGTAACACAAAAGAGTGTTCTTTTCTCAGTTCTCTAACAAGATATTAGTACCTACTGGCCTTATGAATAATGTGTATAAATCACATCATATTCAGAGTGTCTGAATTAATTATAATAGGAGCTGGAGAGAAATGTTAACTTTCCAGGTTGTTGCTAAGGATTAGCTCTTGTTTACAATTCTATATTTATAGAACAAGAAAAATTTGTCAACTGAAGGACAAAGAGGAATGCAACTGCACAAATGTAGCCACGATATCAAACAAATCAGATATTGCACCCATTTATTGGAAAGCAAACCACCATTTATAACGTAAAGATGCAAATGAGTCTGACAATATAAATGTGGTTTTTATTTTCATGCATTCAACGTCACTAGATGTTATAAGAAATTATGTTAACATTTCTCATACTCTTAACCCAAGTCTGAGATTTTGAAAACAACACATCATAGAATCATAGAATATCAGAGTTGGAAGGGACCTCAAGAGGTCATCTAGTCCAACCCCCTGCTCAAAGCAGACAGATTTTTGCCCCAATCCCTAAATGGCCCCCTCAAGGGCT